GTTATATGGTAACGAAAGTGGTTAACATTCAACCCGTTCTTTTTCATCGGTAGTATCATTTGTGATTTGAATTTTGAGAACGGGAGTTCCTCTTTTGCTATATTATAAGCCGGGCTTCGGATGCTTTCGCTTTCGAATTCTCAATCTTGTCGTCACGGTTTACAAGAGAAGATAATTGTCTGGAATCAAATAAATGAACAAAAAAAATTAAAGAAAGCCTTCATAGCATACCGTGAGTTAAACAGCAAAGATAACAAGCTTTTCAAAATGAAAACAAAAAGAAAAGTAAAACTAAACTGGCTGTCGGTGACAGGACTTGCATGTTTTCCCACAAGAATACAAACATGTTCACCCTCTCTGGTTTAAGAAGCGGTCTTTTACTTTACTTTAGCTTGAGAACTAAATCTTCCGTCCACAATTGTTTCCTTAATATTCACGTAATTTTTGCCGTGTGCTGTGCGCACCTTCGCGCTCGTGCTAATGCGGCAACACTAGGCTCTACACCTGAAGCGCTAGCACTGAAAGCGCCTCTCTTCACGTGATCAGTGAAATCTGACTCCTGCTACAATGTTCCGCGGCTCAGCAACGCACGCTGTATGGAGCAGACGCTTTGGAGCAGCACAGACCATGCACTCGCACAATTTTAGCTCTAAAATTGTTGCAAATGCGACCATTTTGGTCACAGTCTAGAGCCCTGATTACTGCTTAAAGGGTTAGTTCACCCAAAAATGAAAATTCGGTCATTAATTACTCACCTTCATGTCGTTCTAAACCCGTAAGACCTCCGTTCATCTTCGGAACACAAATTAAGATATTTTTTATGAATTATGAGAGCTCTCTGACCCTCCCATAGACAGCAATGTAATTACCACGATCAAGGTCCAGAGACGTAGCAAGAAGATCGGTAAAATAATCCATGTGACATCAGGAGTTCAACCGTAATTTTACGAAGCTACGAGAATACTTTTTGTACACAAAGAAAACAAAAATAACTACTTTATTCAACAATTCGTCTCCTCCGCGTCACCCTGGTGCCATTTTGGAGAATATCCACTGAGCGCAAACAGCGTATGCTATTCTGTGTCAGCTGCGTCACGCCGGATACGTTTTCTACGTTGTTTGTGCTTTGATTTGAACGAAAACAACGTATCAGCGTGACGCGTGTAATTATGGTTGAACTCCTGATGTCACATGGATTATTTTGCCAATCTCCTTGCTACGTTTCTGGACCTTGATCGTGGTAATTACATTGCTGTCTATGGGAGGGTCAGAGAGCTCTCAGAATTAATCAAAAATATCTTCATTTGTGTTCCGAAGATGAACGGAGGTCTTACGGGTTTAAAACGACATGAAGGTGAGTAATTAATTAATTTTTGGGTGAACTATCCCTTTAATTTAGTAACGAAAAGGGCAGCTTTTTTTACATTTTATTTAAACATTTTAATATTTATTTTATTTATTATGCAAGTGCAAGTACTTTTGACTATATTTTAGTTTTCAGGGCAATTTATTGGAGTTACACAGCTGTGTGTGAAAATCAAGGGCTTCTGTATCAAATATTACGTCAGTAGTGCATCAGTGTGCCAGTGTCTTTTGAGAGGACTAAGTATGTGAGAAAACTTCTTTTAAATGAATCTGCTTTAAAAGAAGAGCGCAGTGCACAAGCCTCCTCCTTCCTGATGTTGAGTAGGAGCTGGAGCTGCTCTGACTCCACATCTTTGAGAAATGAATGGGATCCTCTGCTGGTCTTTCATCTCCAACAGGAGGCCTGCCGCATCTGCTCCGAGTCTCTCGTGTGCCAGAGAGAGTACTGTTCCCTCTGACAGCACTGCACGGAAAGAGAGGCTTCAGATCAGGCGGATGGCAGTAAACATTTTAATTGGTGCTGTATGGTGTGTTACTGGTAGACTTGTTGCCCATGAAGCCTAATTGAGGAATCGGTAAAACTGAGCCTTTATGGGAAGCTGAAACCTCAGTAGTAGTTCATTGTGTCAGCCTTTTGTGCCAGTGATTTTGTTCTTTGGATAGATTGTACTGTAGATAGGCAGAATGAACTGAAAGCTCATCTGCGTATTTATTTTAAACCATTCATCAAACTTATAATGTAATGGCATAATTCTATTATGAGGGAATTTTCTCATGCTCTTCTGATAACTATATGTGATCAGCTTCCACTGTGTGTTTTATGTTAAAGATGACAGATGTGTTTTATAAAGTAGATTATTTAGGGCAAAATCGATAGTCCTAAGAATGACATTTACTGTGTAACATGGAATGTCATGAAATTAATCAAGTTAAAGTTAAATTCACTCAAACCCCTAAGTCACACAATATGGACTAGTGTCTGTGATTATTGTCAAATGTACTCAGAAACTCAGGTCTTCACTACAAACCAAAAAAAGTTCAATTTAAGTTCAGTTTTGAAGATATTGACAAACAAATATTAGTATGTACTTCTTAACGTACTACTAATGCTACTACTACTAATTTATTAATTTGTTAAACCTTTTTTTTTAATTTATTGGGAATATTACACAATAGAGTTTTTTTCATCATCAATGTAATTTAAACATCTGTATGAATAACTATATTTGAGGGAAAAAATAAATGCAGTATTTTCTTTAAAAGGAATTGACCTTTTTTTTGTTACATTTTAAGATATTTCAATAAATTGTTATAGTTTTGTGAATTTGTTTGATTACCATCATTTTTGGTTATTTAAATTTTAATGAAGTAATTAAAATAGACATAATTTTGGGGAAAATATTAAATTACATAAGGTCCTAAAAAAATTATGAAAACCACATCAAGTGATTAGAACCAAATCAACAACCATGTAAAACTATGTAACAAAATTTGACAATAAATATACATTTATGAAAGCCACAAATTCTTCCCAGACTTTTAGTCATACATCAGAAACATTCTTGTTATTTGTTGGTATTGGGGTTATGAAAGGGGTCCTTTACTTAAAAAAAGAAAAAGTTTGAAGACCTTTAGTATTTAAATATATGGTTATTTAAATTTTAATTAAGTAATTAAAATAGACATAATTTTGGGGAAAATATTAAATTACATAAGGTCCTAACAAAATTATGAAAACCACATCAAGTGATTAGAACCAAATCAACAACCATGTAAAACTATGTAACAAAATTTGACAATAAATATACATTTATGAAAGCCACAAATTCTTCCCAGACTTTTAGTCATACATCAGAAACATTCTTGTTATTTGTTGGTATTGGGGTTATGAAAGGGGTCCTTTACTTAAAAAAAGAAAAAGTTTGAAGACCTTTAGTATTTAAATATACGTTTGCACATTGAGAATATAAATCCTGGATTATACATTTTTCTGGTGTTTTTTTTTTTTTTTTTGCTTAGTATGCATCTATTTATACTTTTTGGGCTAATATTACAATGTTTTCAGTTGTATAAATGTGGCAAGAAATGGCTGCATATGAAACTTTCACAGCAGTTTGTATTGAGCCAAAAGTAATGATTTCATCATGCTATATTACATCCTAATACTGTCCCTTTAACATGTAGTACAAGTAGGCAAATTGAGACGCAGCATATGATTTCTGTGCCCTATTTGTCTGAGAAATAGTGGCAGCCTGCTGTTTTATACACCATTAGGTTTTTTTTCTCTTTTAATGGTGTCTCTTTAAGTCAGATGTGTTTCACTTCTTCACAAGCTCCTTTAAAACACCCGGAGTTGTCTCTCCCAGCAGGGTACAGACACTGCAGTGAATCACACGGCCGAAAAAAAACCTTCAGTGTCCAGCATTAAAACTGCACACTAACACATCACCACTTTAATTTCACATTAACATGGTCTGGTTAAGAAAGTTGTGCCGCTTAACATTTTTGTGGAAACAGTGGTAATTTTTTCAGGATTCTTTGAATAGTAAATATTTATATAAAGTAGAAATCTTTTGTTAAATATTAAACGTAACTGTCTTTACTGTCACTAATAAATTTAGTGTGTGTTTTAATAAGTGTTAATTTCTTTAAAAACAAATCTTACTTAGCCCAGACTTTTATGCTAAAAAAAAGTGTTAAGATTCTGACTAGCATGTGAACAAATCAGTAGTGCTGTCAAACGATTAATTGCGATTAATCGCATCCAAACTAAATGTTTTTGTTTGCATAATATGTGTGTGTGTACTGTGTATATTTATTATGTATATATAAATACACTCACATGCATGTATATATTTCAGAAAAATAAGTTGTTTATATTTTAAATATATTAAATATATGATATGAATATAAATATATACATGTAAATATTTTCGACAGAACACAAACATATTATGCAAACAAAAACGTTTATTTTGTATGTGATTAATCGTTTGATGGCACTACAAATCAGACTGAATTCTTGACCTTGTTGTCCATCACCCTCTTTTTATGTGCATTTTAAAAGTATTGCATCAGAAACGAGTGATGGAAATGCCAAATTTCGAAAAAGAAATCCCTTAATTTGCAAAAAATTTGCTTGCTTGAGGTGGTGTTTGACTTGCGCGAAAAAGGGTTAATGCGAATAATAGAAATTCTGCACGAGCGTTCAAAAAAAGTCACGTGACTTTGCGCTATGGGACAGCATAACCTGACTAACCAGCGGACCGATTTTGTTGAAATGTTATTGTCATTCTGAAATGCCCGAGCAAAGTCTGCGGTTCCCAAACAGCTGGCATTCACCTACAAAAACAATGACCACATTTATTGTGTTTCGTCTGCTCGCTCTGAGGCGCAAGGAATTTATTATATTTGAAAATATAATAAATCTTCTCCTACTTTTCTTAGTGATATTTAGTGCCATTTTATCAGGAAGTGACGATTTTGTTCTCTCTGACTCGTTGGATGGAAATGGTGCTTTTTCGTAAATGTTTTATGCGATAATCCAAATTTGTGCACGAGTTAAATTTGCAACTTATGATGGAAACCTGGCTACGCTTTCATCTTGTTTTTGTCTTTTCTTGCATCTTCATTAGACGGTGGACATTCATAAAGAGAAGGTCGCCCGACGAGAGATCGGCATCGTGACAACGAATAAAAACACATCAAGGACTCATAAGATCATCGCTCCGACCAACATTGAGCGGCCGGTGAGGTACATCAGGAAGCCAATCGACTACACCGTTCTGGATGATGTGGGCCATGGAGTAAAGGTAAATAATTTGCCGTCTTTTAAATCTATATTCATTGCTTCCAACTCTACAAACAGGATGGCTTGTTTCTCAGATGCGGAGAAGATCTTGATTAGGTTAAAACCGAAACCGAGCCATTCATACATATTCATATTCAACGCATATTCAGCGCATTTTGTAGACGGACAAATATGACTGCTGCACTCGCGTCTCACAAGAGATGTATAGAAAGCAATGCAAAGTTAAAACAGTTTAAACTTTTAGAAAACACGTCACGAATTTGTGGAGGTTTATTCCTTTTCACTGCATTTTTGGGCTGATATTACAACGTTTTTCAGTAGAAATGTGGCAAGAAATGGTTGCAGAGGCTGAAACTTTCACAGCAGTTTGTATTGAGCCTAAATGATTTTATCACACTGTAGGACTTCCTATTACTGTGGTGTACCTTTAATGTGTAGTAAAAGTAGGCAAATTGAGATGCAGCATATGATTTTTGTTCCCTATTTGTCTGAGAAATAATGGCTTCCTGCTGTTTTATGCACCATTAGGGGTATTTTTCTCTTTTAATGCTGTCTCTTTAAGGGTCAAGTGTTTAACTACTTCACAAGCTCCTTTAAAACACACAGAGTTGTCGAAAAACCCCTTCAGTGTCCGGCATTAAAACTGCACGCCGCTCTCAACATCACCACACTAATTTCACAGTAACAGAATGTTTACGGTCTTATTAAAAACAGTTGTGTCGCTTAATCTTTTTGTGTAAACCGTGATATTTTTTTCAGGATTCTTTTAGGAAGCATTTATATGAAGTAGAAATCTTTTGTGGAATATTAAATGTGACTGACTTTAATGGCACTAATACATTTAGTGTGTTCTTTTTAAATAAAAGTGTTCTTTTAAAAAAAACAAAAAAAAACAAATCTTACTCAGCCCAACCTTTCAATCTTGTTTTTGTCTTTTCTTGCATCTTCATTAGACGGTAGACATCCATAAGGAGAAGGTCGCCCGACGAGAGATTGGCATCCTGACAACGAATAAAAACACATCAAGGACTCATAAGATCATCGCTCCGACCAACATTGAGCGGCCGGTGAGGTACATCAGGAAGCCAATCGACTACACCGTTCTGGATGATGTGGGCCATGGAGTAAAGGTAAATAATTTGCCGTCTTTTAAATCTATATTCATTGCTTCCAACTCTACAAACAGGATGGCTTGTTTCTCAGTTTTTCAAGTGTGACCAAGTGCGACGCCAGTTTGATTCTTATGTGAACAAGCCTATGAGTGTACAGTCTGCTAGGCCTGGGCGATAAAACGGTATTGATATTTATCGACGGTACACCTTCTTCGATATCGCTAGAAAAATTGTTCGATATAGCGTACAATATAGGCACGTACTATGAGTGACGCAGACAGCACACACAAACACGAACACGAACACATGCTGAAATGAGTACTGTGCCTGCCTGTGATGAGGAGATTGTGAATAAAGAATGAAAATTAGTCGAATTTAAAATAAACATTTGCATTTGAGTGTTAGGTGTGCATCAGGGAGCATCATCAGTGGCGCGCGAGATGCGGTGATGATGTAAGTGAAGTTGTTGCATTTGAATGTTTTGTTAGTCTAGACCACGAGACGCGCCGCTGCTGCGTTATTCATTCAAAATATTAGAGAAATATAGTAGCTCAATTGGCCTCGGGAGACAATTAGACCTATACAATAAAGACCTATTTAATCTGCATATAAAACATTAGAAATTAGATAATTGTTTAATTTTTATTGTGTTTGATTGTTAAAACAATAAATATTTGTTGTTTGTCTCAATAAATTGTTAATTATAAATACAGTGGTTAAATTTAAACTTTTTTTTTTCTATTGCTTTTTGTTTTAAAAAAAGGTTTAAAAAAAAAAAAGTCAATAATTATCGATACTGAATGATATGAAACATTATATCGTTGATACATTTTTTAGCTACATCGCCCAGCCCTAGTTCAATATGTCTGACAGTGCTGTACCTGGAGAGAGTGCGTCAGGGAGCGTCATCAGTGGCGCGCGAGATGCGTTAATGATGTAAGTGACGTTGTTGCATTTTAATGTTTTGTTAGTCTAGCCCACGAGACGCGCCGCTGCTGCGTTATCTTTTTTTTTTCTATTGCTTTTTGTTTTAAAAAAAGGTTTAAAAAAAAAAAAGTCAATAATTATCGATACTGAATGATATGAAACATTATATCGTTGATACATTTTTTAGCTACATCGCCCAGCCCTAGTTCAATATGTCTGACAGTGCTGTACCTGGAGTTGATTGCTGCAACAATGAAACATTGAAAATAAGTTTTCCACAATTGCCAGCAGACAGTAACATTGTCTCTGTGATACTTTTTGTCTTTAAAATAGAGTAAGAAGGTTAAGGGCAAAATTAGCTGATTGGCACAAATTACGCCCCTTTCTGCTCTAGTTTATAGAGGGAGGCAGTGAGTTTTAAACCATCAATCCAGCAATGCAGTTCACATTCCAGCCCTTACAGCGCGTTGACAGCATGCATCTGTGTTATCTGTAGTGTTGAAATGTAAAAACATCTGACCTAGTGACAGCATCACCCTCTATCTGTAGCTAATCTGGCAGGATTGTGAGTGTGATGGGTGTTCACGAAGGATTAGGGCTGAAATGACTCATGTGACCCAACAGCCAATCGATTATGAGAGTTTATAAGATGAGCCTCATGTATAATCAATATTAGTGGATGCGCTATTTACATTTACTGGGGTTAAAGCTAACTGCTGTTTGTTTGTGTAGCTTCAAAAATAGTTGGGTTATTGCCACTGACAGTGAATCCCTATTAATGTAAACTTTTCAGTGACACAAACATGTCATTACTGCCTCTTGTGCTCACCAAAGCTGCATTTATTTGATCAAAAATACAATAAAACAGTAATATTGTGAGATGTTATTACAATTTTAAATAACTGTTTTGTATTTGAATATATTTTAAAATGCTGTTTATTCCTGTGATGGCAAAACTGAATTTTTTAGTAGCCATTATTTTAGTATGCTAATCTGATATGCTAATTTTCTGCTTAACATTTCTTATTAGTATCATGGTTGTTGTTTTTTTTGTTAGTTTTATTTTATTTTATTTTATTCTTTAAGGAAGATCATGATACATTAAGAATATAAAGTTCTTAAGAATATAATATAAAGTGTGTGTATGTGTTGTGTGTATATATATATATATATATATAGAATATATATATAGTGTTTATATAGTTTACACAAATACACAAATGTCATATATTCACCCACTTGTTCCAGACTTTTATGCATTTCTTCTTCACAAATTAAGTTTTTATTTTTTTTTACTTGTAATTATTATTATTTTATTTATTTGATTTTATTTATTAATTTGTTGGGCCTGTACAATAAACATTTTGGGTAAACTACCACTACAAAGTTTCAAATGTAGCATTTGTGCCAAGGGTTGTCACTTTTTTAAAAGTTACACTTTTGTGCTTTATTTACCCTTAAAGGGGTCATATTATTACATTTAAGCTACATATTAGTATGTTAATATTAGTGCCTAAATATTACATATTAGTACCTTTTGAAAAGGTACCGTTCCAGACAGATCTTGTACCCTTTTTTTTCTGAGAGTGTACAGTGCGTTCTGCTGTCACTGAATATCCTGGCAGTGTTTTATTACACCTTTTCACTGTTGCATTGCTGTCATTCAGTAAGAGAAGCCATAACCTTGAGTCACCTGACAGGGGGATTACAGCATCTTCAGCCAAATTGACTGTGTTTGCAAAAGATGAGATTTATTTTCAATGTCAGTTGACACTTAATCTAGTCAGCGTTCTCAGATGCTGTTTTCAAAAGGTTTTTTAACTAGTTTATTTTACTTCCTTCCCCTGTTCAGGAAAAAAAATGAGAATCCTTTTCTTTGCCTGCTCGTGTATCTGTTTCGGTGAACATTAAGCGCTTTTGCAGTCTTCCGTGTGGAGGATTTTGGCGCTGTCAGAGTGTGATAAATTAAGCCGTATTTCTGTCTGTCTACTGATTCCACTGAGATCTGAATGAACACTGCATTTACGTTTGTGTATCTGATCGTGGAACTGATGTCGTGTAAGATTCAGTTCACCCAGAATCCTGTGCCCTTTGAACCCCAAAACCATTCTATTGGCTGAAGGAAATTCTTAATGATTACTCTGTTCAGTGCTTAATTAGAAATTTGTCTGTTTAGGATCTCCTATACGTGTTGTGATATGTATGAATTAAATTTAATATAAATTAAATGATATATGTCATGATTTAGTTATGCTGCAACATGTTGTGTGCCTATGTGTTGGGGGAAAAAATAAAAAATATATATATTTATATGTATGTCATGATTAGTGTTGTCACGTTACCAAAATTTCAGTATTCGGTGCCAATACCAGTGAAAATCCACGGTTCTCGGTACCAATTTCTGTACCAAAGCAAAACACAAAAACATGCTAATTAAAAATATTTCTATACTTTCATTTAATCCAAACTGTGTACATATTTAATTTTAAAGGGCTTTTAAAACCTTCTAGAGTTATTCAGCCAAGAATAACAACAAAGTTAGCTAAAAAAAAAAACGAAAGCTACAACTGCTTTTCTGACTGATATGACACAAACAATGTTAACCTTTTGTACATTCTCTAACACGCATATTTTAGATTCACAATTTATTTAAAAGCCTCTGGTGTGTAAAAATAGTAAATATCATCATGTTCTCCTATTTTTTAACTCTAATAAAAGTTATAGGAGCATTAAATAGTTAATAAAGAAACTTCATTCTAATGCTCATTATATTAGCGTTAGCCGTGCTTATGCTAACGATTAACTACTCTAATAACAGCGATGTTCATTTCAATCCGACATTCAAATTAAAATACATATAACAGAAGCGGTGTTTCCCACAGACTTGCACTCTATTGGTGCTTTTCCACTGCGTGGTACGACTCGGTTCGGCACGGCACGGTTTGCGTTTCCACTGCAGTTC